CACACACGCACACACGCACACACACACGCACGCACACGCACGCACACACGCACGCACGCACGCACACGCACACACACGCACACACGCACGCGCGCACGCACGCACGCACGCACACACACGCGCACACACGCACACGCACACGCACACACACACGCAACAGGCCCGGCAAGGAAGACCGTTCACGCAACATCGACGACGGGAAAAGATATTGCGGTCGGTGCAAGAAGGGCATCGCTTGAAAACTAAAGCCACTTCTTCGGACATCGTTTGCATGTCGATAGCCGGGGACAGAAGTGCAAACCCGAGACCCGAAATGCTATGGACATGAACTGTCGAATTTTCGTATCTTGTGGTGTTGGGGGGCTGAGTGATCGCGCTTGCTTGCCACGCGCAAGTCATCTTCTTAAGCTCGTTTCAAAGCGCATGTTCGAAAAGCTTCGTTCCTAAATCGGCGCAATTGTTTGCGCTGGGCATATTTCTCAACCGAGCGCTGCGTGAATGGGCTAGTTGCTGCGCGTGCAAATACTTAACATCGACGTGCTTGAGCTCTCCTAGCCGCAAGCGGGAGGCAATCGCTATCCCCGCGGACGAATCGGATTCAATCCGCAGTCTTACGGTCACGCCAACGCCAAGTTCAGTGAGCATTGTCTGCGCTTGTAAACCTTCGGCCGCTCCCGAGGCGATGGCGCGCAATTCTGCCTCTCCGAAGCTCCGGGCAATCAATGATTGGATAGAACTTAAGTTCGTAAGGAGACATGGGCCCCAACGCACATAACCGCTAGAGGTGGATTTCCGTTTTTTTGCACCCGGCCCAATCGCTGTCTACATGCGCAACAATGTCGTCTTTCAAGGTTCCGCCGTTTTGCAAATGCAAGCGTTCATGTTTGGTTCCATGCGTATGCCGCGTGCAATGCTTTCTTTAATTTTCTCATGTCCTCCTCGGTGGGCGCCGCTAGCTTTCTCACAAGTTCTTTCGTCGTGAATTGGATGTCGGGTCTCTCGGTGGGGGTGCGTTGCATCTTGCCCACTGCGCATCGGTGCTTGTGGTGATCTTGACCCGTTAACTGTTTGAACTCTTCGCCGATCGACCCTTGCGCGGGCATTGGGGTCTTGTGCCCAGGAGCCGACGAGGCCAAACATCCATTCACCCCTACTACACCTAACGCATCATCAGTGTATCCCGGTGCAAGTCTCACTGCAATGCCGGTTGTCTCCACTTCATAACACTTAACTGAACACTTCGCAACCGATGTGGCATGGAAGCGTTCACCCCTGCGGAACAAAACGCGCTTTTTGAAGTCATTGAAACATTCTGCGACGGCATCATCAGAACCTGCAGCAATGGGGTTGCCGACATGCACGCTCAGATACACGTTTCTCTTCTCGCTCCAAAACGCCCAGGGGCCACTCTGGCGCCGAGTGAAAGTCAAGCGTTCAACGAGAACCTCAGCTAGAAATTCCTGGGAGTTTTGCGGCGCCTTCCGGAGACTGTTCGTTGCTTTCTGCATCTTCCAAATCCACCCTGGGGATTGGGATTTCCACGGCTGTGGGGGTCTACAACCCCCCCTGGTCACAAATATACGCGTGCGTGAAAGCTACGCTACAATCTCCAACTTTGATGTTGTAACTCATTATCATCGCAAGTGCTGGAAGGGTTCTCAAACCTGTTGGGGCCGGGATTGCCGCGGGCGCGTCGTCCCGGACCTCTGCCCACTTGAAGTCGTTCGCAACTGAACGTGACCTGACCTCTGTTTCGCCGCGCTTCCTGTGGGCCCATCCCACGCTTGTGGGTTGCGATGCGGCTTCCTTTTGTCTGCGCCATTGGTGCGCGCCAGCGTGGCCCAGGAGGCAATGTGCATCGCGTTGGTCCAGAGGTGCGCTACGAATGGCTCCCCACGGTTCGCCAGAAACCACATCTCGACCCCGTCCCGCGGCGTCTTTCGCGGAAGCGCTGCCGGCAAATCAGCTGGGGGGTCCTCCAAAGGCCCCTAGAACGCAACCGGCGAGATTGCGTTCTTCATGCTCTCGGGAAAGCGGTCTGGATCAACAGACCTAGATTTGGTGCGATGCAAGAAACTATGATCCCTCGCAAAGAGATCGCCATAACAGTTCAAGGAATTTGCCGCGACTTGGGCATTCCCGACCGTGAAAAACATGTTCCTTTGCATAGCTCGGCGACTCGCGCTAATCAACGCAGTGGAAGCATGCCAAAGCAACCCGAACCGAATCGCGAGCTGCAACGCTTTACCATTCGATCCGATTCGCTGTGCTGGGACATCCTTTTACCCCAGCCTTCTAATTTCATAGCCGCTCGCAGTTATTCCGTCGATTCCCGACGCGCGAATCATCTTGATGTGAGGGGCAAAGGCAAGTCCGCGCACGTGGCCAAACGTGCCAGCATCTAGCGACGCTAGAAAACTCATTAGCTGCGTCGCGATGTCTTGATGAATGTAAATCCCCGGTTTCTTCTGGACTGCCAGGCGGCTCAACAGCTGAAATGAAGCACTGGCGATTGCTAGGGCGCGCGTGTGGAAGCGCATGCGGTGAAACCGCATTGCTTGCAACGACAAACACCGACGGGAATATCGAGAACACCTGCAAACAATTCATGTTCCAACCCGTTGCTTTCGACAAGCGTTCAACCGATGGGGTGTTCAAGTCTACGTGCTGTTTGTGTTTCTTGTGCGATGTGGCTGTGCGCGCGCGCAACTTCTGCGATGTGTTCGCCATGCGCGTGTGCGCGCACTTACGCCCATGCTCGTATCCTGTGCTGCTGGTTTCTCCATGGCCTTCCTCCTCCGCGCTGGGACCCCCGTCCAGAGACAACCGAAACTATTGGCCTTCCCCGAATGATTCCGCAAAGTAGCCGTTTTCCGTCTGCGTCCCAACATCCATGCGCGCGCATACGTGCACCACCAAGCTTAAATTCAAGAAAACTCTCTCCTGATTGCTCTCCCCCATCGCCTTCGCATGCTGGGCACGCTACAGCGAACTCTTCTGGCTGGTACTGTTGCCCTCCGTTCCAAGAGGGGCTCCAGAGCCCACTGGTCATTCGAATGGGACTGGGGCGCAACCTCAGCTGACCTGTTACCTTTATTGTTTGCCTTACTTTTACGATCAAACCTACGCTCTGAAGCCCATATGGTTCCTCACCCGGCAAATGTCGCACCACTTTTGTGGCTGAACTTTGCCGCCGGCAGTCCTTCCGGAAAACTTCCCGGATCCTTGCCAACTGCTTTGAGATCATTGTTCGGGGCGCCCCCAAGAAGAACCTGCCTGTCTTTGCTGGGGGTCTCCTGATTCCCAGATCCGGCCTTGCCTCCATAAGCCTTGTCTCCGTACTTCCCTTCTTGATCCTTAGTTTCCCCGACAAGATTTCCTGTCTTTCCACCTGCATCATCTCCTTTTCCTCCTCCGGTCTTTCCTGTCATTCCTCCTTTCCGCGCGGGCGTGAATGGATCGACCTCGGTGGGCGTAGTCCTGGAATCGCTTCCTGCTTTGGCGAAAAGGTTTTCCAGTCTCGCTTTCCCTGGACATGCGCCCGACTATTTTGCTCGAGCCCCTCGTAGGTCTCATGCAAGTCCGTGCTCAATTCAATCTGTCCTTTCCTTGGTTCTGGAATGGTTTGGATAACTGCTGTGGTTTTTACGTCATCGGAACATTCTTCTTGGTTCACGAAATCATCGGACTGTTGGGCAATATCTTCGAACCCGACCAATTTCTCTGGCAAGCTGTCCAAACGATCGGTGGAGATATCGTAACTCAAGATTGCTTTCATGGGTCCTCGACGTGTGCTTCTGTCTTTTGGGTCCTATCGGGCGCGTGTTTTCCGCCGCATCTCAAATGCGTTCCCTTTTCTCAAGCTTGCGAAACGCCTTGGCCATTTCTCCCTTCACAAGGCCTACCAACATGTAAGCAATATTAGCTGCATGCTGTTTCACAGGCGCGTCAATTGTTGCAAGTGTTATTTCATCCTGTCTCATTCTTGCGCGCTCCATGTGTTCCAACTTCTCGCTGCTCACTGCACATGCGTAATTTTCAAACTGAAGCGACCAATCGGGCCAACCAACATCTTTGCCCGACAACTCTCTGACGTCCATTCCAGGAAATTCCGTATCGATGACCCCTTGGGCCAACTCTTCCTTCCAAGACTGTTCCTAAAACTGTTCCCCGGGTTCCCGTGGATCTGAAACTCATGTTTTTCTGAACCACAGCTCCACTACCATGTAAGACAACAGTGCATTCTTCCTGGGATCAGCTTGAGCCATGCCGGCTGCGGTGCAGGCGGAGAGAGAGAGACAGAGAGAGAGAGAGAGAGAGACAGAGAGAGAGAGAGAGAGCAGGGTGAGACGAGAGACGGGGACAGGTGCTTGACTTCCAACACCTCCTCCTCCTCCTCCTCATCCTCCTCCCCTCCCCCCCCAAGGAAGCGGCACTCGCCCAGCAGCTGCGAGCGCGAGCGACTAGCGCCCTCGAGGATGATCGAATCGAACCGAACCTCTTCCCCTTCCTCCCTCTCCTCCTCTGCTCCTCTGCTCCCCCCCTTTTCCTCATCCCTGCCTTGGGGCTCTATGGGCGAGCAAAGGCCCGCGTCTCCATCGCGCAAGCCCCTGGGATGTGCGGGCGCGTGACGGGGGGCGTAACCGCAGCCCGTGGGGCCAACCACAATCATCTCAGCCTAGAGCCTGGCCCCTCGTCCCTCGCCCCACCTCCTCCTCGTCCTCGCCCTCGTCCTCGTCCTGGTCGCGGTCGTCGTCCTCGTCGTCGTCGTCGTCGTCGCCCTCCTCCTCCTCCTCCTCCTCCCTTGCTCTTCCTCCCTTGCTCCTCTTTCCCCATTATCCTCCTCCTCTTTCTCCTCCTCTTCCTCCTTCTGCTGTGTTGCTTCCACCCCTCCTCCCCGCCTCCCTTCGGTCCTCCTCATCTCGTTCCTCCTCCTCCTCCTCCTCCTCCTCCTCCTCCTCATCGTCCTAAGAGCGGCCAGTTTGCAATCGCGGCAGTGCCTCTCATGCCGAGCGAGCATGCCGCCAGAAGGGAACTTCCGCTTGCAGGGGTAACATATAAACCTCGGCCGGGGATCGGCGATGCTTAGGAGGACAAGCATACACATAAGCATGAGCTTACGAGACGTTCACGGCCCGAATGCGTTTTGTTTACGCCCTCCGAATGAAGGCCCACGAAGCAGCTGGGGGCACGATCAAATTCTATTCGAATTCAGGCCGCTTAAGTGGCAGATTCTATTGATTGGCGGCTCTCTCCCCCCGCCCGCGTCCTGGGCCCGCAGGGAAATCCCACAAGAAATCCAGACCCCAACTGAACACGCCAACATCTGACATGGCTGGGACGAGCAGTGATGCGGAGGCCCTCCTCCTCCTCCTCCTTCTCCTCCTCCTCCTTCCTCGTCCCTCCTCCTCTCTCCGTCCTAGGCCCTAGGCTAGAATACTCGCAAATTCGCGTTTCGACGACTTCGCTTCTGCGAAAGAGCTCGGCCAGAAAAGGCCAGAATCTGGGCTCACGCCTGCCTGGACCATTGCTGGCCGTGCTATCTTCACCCTTCGACGCTTCCACCCCTGCCATCTCTTCCCTGCCAACTTCCCGCCACCCCTGCCGTCTCTTCCCTGCCAACTTCCCGGTCGCCCTCCTCTCCGGCCCGTCACAACGACGGCAATCGATCGTGAATGGCTCTCTCGGAGTTTCTCTCTCTGTGTTTTGGCAATCTCACTACCGTCCCGTAATCCTCGTCGTCGTCGCCTCCGTCCCCCTTCACCCTCCTTCTCCACGTGCCGACAAGCAACACTCAGAGACTGGGTGCCGCCCAAACTAGAGCTCGCCGGCACGCGCGGCACTGCTCTCTGTCCGTGCCGCCGGGAAGGGCCGACCCATGGGACGAGGAAGGAAGGTAGACGATCGCCATGGAGGGAGGACAGGACAGGACATCCGCATAAAGGGGGTCAACGTCAACACACCTAGGCTGGTGCCTTGCGCGTGTCCGCAAAATCCGCTGCGATTTGGTTGTAAGCCTCAGTGGCGGTGTTCGCATGCGTCTCCCCCACCCAGTACGGCGCTTCGTGGCCCCATAGGGAGCTCCACCGAAGGCCTCAGTGATAGCACTCGCATGCGGATCCCCCACCCAACATAAGGTTTCGATGCCCCATAAAGGGACTCCACAGGAAGCCTCAGTGGCGGTGTTCGCAGGCGTCTCCCCCGCCCAGTACGGCACTTCGTGGCCCCATAGGGAGCTCCACCGAAGGCCTCAGTAACTGCACTCGCATGCGGCTTCTGTACCCAGCACAGCGTTTCGTGGCCCCATAGGGAGCTCCACCGAACGCTCCAGTGGTGGTGTTCGCATGCGTCCCCACAGTAAGCTTTACCGAAGCCCCACTGGCTGCACTCGCATGCGGATCCCCCGCCCAATCCAGCATTACGTGGCCCCAAAAAGGGCCCCACAGGAGGCCCCAGTGGCTGCACTCGCATGCGGATCCCCCGCCCAATACAACGTTTCGTGGCCCCATAAGGGACTCCACAGGAGGCCTCAATGGCGGCGTTCGCATGCGTCCCCCCCGCCCAGTACAGCGTTTCGTGGCCCCATGGGGAGCTCCACCGAAGGCTCCAGTGGCTGTGCTCGAATGTGTCTCCGCCGCCCAGTACAACGTTTCGTGGCCCTAGGGAGCCGAAGGCTCCAATGGCGGTGTTCGCATGCGTTTCCCCCACCCAGTACCACGTTTCGTCGCCCCGTAGGGGGCTCTACCGAATGCCCCAATGGCGGCCCCGCCCCCTTGCGGCGCACCGCTCACGCGTTTCGCGGCCCTATTGTGGGTGCCGCCTAAACCCCAACGGCAGCGCCCACCTGGCGGCCCTGCCCTATATCGACACACCCTGCGCATGCTTCATCCCCCTACGAGGAGACCCTTCGAAACACGATACCCGCAACGACGGTACTCACAACAACATATGGTTGGGTCCTTCGCCAAGGTAATGATTTTTGGTTATTCACTGCGTCTTTGATTGTGGTTTTATAGTTTTTTGTTTGTCGTTGTTTTTCTGGCTATCCACAACCCTCCTTCTCCTCCTCCTTCTCCTCCTCTTCCTCAATTCATTTTCCGTGTGGACAACTCCTCCATGTCGCACCCCGACGCCGGTCGGAAGGGCGGGCCGGGCGTTTCGCCTGAGACTTCCTCACCATTCTATGGCCCTGGAGCTTATCATTTGCAGCAGTTTCACGGATGGAGGGTGGGCCGTTTTCAAAACGTGGCTCTCCTTCTTAGCGCCGCGCACTCTGGTTTTAAACATTTGTACTCTCTGTATGTATACGGGCTTCGTGAAGAGAACAAGAACTGCGGTCCAACTCGGCAATTCTAATTTCCATCGCTTCCTACAAGCCACCCTCTTCTCGCTTAAGCAGACATGCGTGTACCGTTCAAATGGGGGCCGTCAACAACTCCCATCTGTGCTTTTGCTTATATATGGGCTCGTCCCTGCGAAGCCAACTGTCGATTGATTGCGGCTGCTGCGGCTGCGATGGCGGGGGGTCGACTGGCTTGAATACTTCCAACGAGCGGGTTCTAACAAGTGTAGCAGCGGTGGCGTCGTTAAGGCTTGCAATGAAGATAAGTGTTTAAACGCCAGCGTAGATGCGAACGCCAAGCAACAAGCATGACAAGGACCCGTTTTATAATTACACAAGCGGCTGCGGACAACCCGCCGCTGGCTTTGTTCCGAAGTGTCGGATTTGGGGCGATGTCAATAATATGCACGTGACTAGATATATGGGCGAGCGAGACCGAGGACGATATCACTTGCTACAGCATATACGAGCAGAACCATTGAACTTTGACCATAAAAACAATTGCCCTGGCGACGTACCCAACCCCTGCGCAATGCGGGGCATGATTAGCCTGGGAGACGTTATACGGAGGTGACGACGTGGCATGGGCGCATATACTTCTGCGAGCGGCATTCGTGAGGCTCGCACCCCCCCAAGGATTGCGATGTCTCGTTCAGATCTGCCTGGTGCCTCGCTCCGCTGAACCCGCCAGCAGCCTTCGAACGTGGAGACAGTTTCGCAGATCGCAGTCCCCACATGCACGGCGAGGTCCCGCTCAGATCTGCGCGGTGCCTCACTCCGCAGGGCCCACCAGCAGCCCTCGAAAGTGGCGACAATTTCGCAGATCGCATCCCCTCAAGGACGGCAAGGCCCCGCTCAGATCTGCGCGGTGTCTCACTCCGCTGGACCCACCAGCAGCCCTCGAAAGTGGCGACGGTTTCGCAGATCGCAGCCCCCCAAGGACGGCGAGGTCCCGCTCAGATCCGCGCGGTGCCTCACTCCGCAGGACCCGCCAGCAGCCTTCGAACGTGCCGACCGTTTCGCAGATCGCTATGCTGCCCCCCCAAGCAGCCCTCGAACATTGCAACGGTTTCGCAGATCGCAGCCTCCCAAGGACGGCGAGGTCCCGCTCAGATCTGCGCGGTGCCTCACTTCGCTGGACCCACCAGCAGCCCTCGAAAGTGGCGACAATTTCGCAGATCGCACCCCCCCAGGGACGGCGAGGTCCCGCTCAGATCCGCGCGGTGCCTCACTCCGCAGGACCCACCAACAGCCCTCGAAACTGTCGACAATTTCGCAGATCGCAGCCCCCAGGGACGGCGAGGTCCCGCTCAGATCCGCGCGGTGTCTCACTCCGCAGGACCCGCCAGCAGCCCTCGAAAATGGCGTCAATTTCGCAGATCGCAACCCCCCCAAGGACGGCGAAGTCCCGCTCAGATCCGCGCGGTGCCTCACTCCGCAGGACCCACCAGCAACCATCGAAAGTGGCGACAATTTCGCAGATCGCAGCCCCCCAGGGACGGCGAGGTCCCGCTCAGATCCGCGCGGTGCCTCACTCCGCAGGACCCACCAGTAGCCCTCGAAAATGGCGACACTTTCGCAGATCGCAGCCCCGCAGGGACGGGGAGGTCCCGCTCAGATCCGCGCGGTGCCTCACACCGCAGGACCCACCAGCAGCCCTCGAAACTGACGACAATTTCGCAGATCGCAGCCCCCCAGGGACGGCGAGGTCCCGCTCAGATCCGCGCGGTGCCTCACTCCGCAGGACCCACCAGCAACCTCGAAAACTGACGACAATTTCGCAGATCGCAGCCCCCCAGGGACGGCGAGGTCCCGCTCAGATCCGCGCGGTGCCTCACTCCGCAGGACCCACCAGCAGCCCTCGAAAGTGGCGACAATTTCGCAGATCGCAGCCCCCCAGGGACGGCGAGGTCCCGCTCAGATCCGCGCGGTGCCTCACTCCGCAGGACCCACCAGCAGCCCTCGAAAGTGGCGACAATTTCGCAGATCGCAGCCCCCCAAGGACGGCGAGGTCCCGCTCAGATCCGCGCGGTGCCTCACTCCGCAGGACCCGCCAGCAGCCCTCGAAAATGGCGTCAATTTCGCAGATCGCAGCCCCCCCAAGGACGGCGAAGTCCCGCTCAGATCCGCGCGGTGCCTCACTCCGCAGGACCCACCAACAGCCCTCGAAAGTGGCGACAATTTCGCAGATCGCAGCCCCCAGGGACGGCGAGGTCCCGCTCAGATCCGCGCGGTGCCTCACTCCGCAGGACCCACCAGTAGCCCTCGAAAGTGGCGACAATTTCGCAGATCGCAGCCCCCCAAGGACGGGGAGGTCCCGCTCAGATCCGCGCGGTGCCTCACACCGCAGGACCCACCAGCAGCCCTCGAAAGTGACGACAATCTCGCAGATCGCATCCCCTCAAGGACGGCAAGGTCCCGCTCAGATCCGCGCGGTGCCTCACTCCGCAGGACCCACCAGCAGCCCTCGAAAGTGGCGACAATTTCGCAGATCGCAGCCCCCAGGGACGGCGAGGTCCCGCTCAGATCCGCGCGGTGCCTCACTCCGCAGGACCCACCAGCCGCCCTCGAAAGTGCCGACAATTTCGCAGATCGCAGCCCCCATCGTCGGCGAAGAGAGGGCAGGAGGAGGCGGGAGGCGGGAGGAGGGACGCGACCACAGTGCTCTATTCAAAACGAATACCCAACCAAGGAGGGTTGGGAATTAAGCATGCTTCCGCCAGAGAAGGCACGGGCGCTGGCAGGAAAACGGAGGAGGACGGACCATGCCCCCCTGCCCCTCGTTCTTATGTTTCTGTACTTCTCCCTCGCCCGCCTTCCTCCTCCTGCTCCTTCCAATCTTTCTCCCGCTTCCGCTCCTCCCGCACCTTCTTCTCTTGGTCCTCTCACTCGCCCCCTACCCTCTCTGCCTCCACCTCCTTCGCACTCCGTCCCTGGCTCGGAGGCCGAGCTCATAGCGGACCCCGTCAGGCCCCAACGTGTTGAAGCCCCTGCTCGCTGGGGCGCCCACTTCTTGGTATCCGTGCCGCCCTCCATCGTCGCGCACCGCGCCTGGCCGACCAGTGCTGGGCAGGGGGAGCCGCGGCGCGGAGACACGCGCAAATCGTCCAGCTGCCCCTCGCCTCGCCGAGTGCTGACAAGCGTGCAACCGTCGCCCACTTCTGTTTGGTACCCCAGCTGTGAGTGTGTGTGTGTGTGTGTGTGTGTGTGTGTAAACGCTTCCCCCCTCCTCCCCCCGCGCGGCCGCCCTCGTCGTCTTTCCTTCTTCTTGCACGCCAGACAATCTGTATTTCGGTTGCCCCGATTCGCGCTGGTGCGGATTGCCTCCTCCGCCTCGTCACCGGCGAAAAAAGAAGTGTGTGTGTGTGTGTGTGGGTCAATCGGGTTAGTGACATACGCCAAGATCTGCCCACCTGCGTGCCGTCAAACGTGCAGCTGTCGACGTTTTCCTGCGCCCCCTGTGGGGTCCAGCGGAGCGCGGCTTGACGCAGAATGAAGACAGGCCTCGCCCACTGGGTGCTGCCAAGCGTGCCAGTGTCGCCACTTTCCTGCGCCCCAGGTTGGGTAGGCCCCTGGGTAAGCTGACGTTACGGGGTGGACCTTACGGCGCAACTCTTGGTGAGCGACAGTTGGGGTGCAATATGTGGGATTCTACGTGTAAGGTGCCATTTATGACGTGCAGCTTCTCGGATGCAGTAGGAACGCAACATAAAAGGGGTGCGATTCCTGTGGTACAACACATCTGGCTTAACGTATTTGGTTGAACATGTGGAATGCAGCATCTGGGTCGAATCCTTATGAGGTGCAACTTGTGGACTGCAGCCTGTGGGGGTGCTCCCTGACCACTTTGACTAATACGCAGGGAACAACTCATGTTGTGGTGCATCTTGATGCACGCGACGACGGCTATGGCCAGACCCCGCAAACCCTCGCCCATTCGTCGGTGTCCCTCCCCACTTCAGCGCCGCCGAACGACGCAACAAGAGCAGGTGGGAAGATAGCCAAAGGCAGGGGCGTTGTCCGCAGGGGTGGCCCAGGAGGGGGTCTCGATCGCCATGGGCGGACCCAAGGGAAAGAATGCGAGGGGTGAAGGGAGGATATTGAGGAGGTTGATCGTGGCCGAGAGGAGGAGGCGGAGGATGATGACAGGCATACCGATGATGAGGGAGTATGAAGGGAAGGATGAGAATGAGGAGGAAAAGGAGGCGAAGGAGGAGGATAACGATGATGATGATGCTGCTGATGACGATGTTGCTGATGATGATGATGATGATGATGATGATGATGATGATGATGCTGATGCTGATGCTGATGCTGATGATGATGATGCTGATGATGAGGATGATGATGGTAATGATGGTGATGGTGATGATGATGTTGATGCTGCTGATGATGATGATGATGCTGATGATGATGATGATGATGATTCTGATCCTGATGATGCTGCTGATGATGCTGCTGCTGATGCGGAGGAGGAGGATGAGGAGGAGGAGGAGGAGGAGGAGGATAAGGAGGAGGAGGAGGAGGGAGGATGATGAGAAGGAGGAGCAGGAGGTGGAGGAGGAGGAGGATGAAGAGGATGTTCGCCCGACCAGTGGTGAGAAGAATTGTGCAGCTAAAGAATCCTTAACCTCCTCCCCCTCCTCCTCCTTCCCCCTCTCTTTCCTCCCTTTTCCTCCTCACTCACTGTAGGGCAGCCGCCCGCTCCAGAAATAACAGCATGAGTTGGCGAAAGCGCCTCCTTGAGGCGATATCTCCTGTACGCTGTCCGGGCGATACTTTTACACCCGAGGCTCGCTCCCTCCAAGGCCATGCGTGCCACTTAACGCGCGGCTAAGAGCACCAGGATTTGAAACGGGCGTTGGGGCTGCCTGCCAGGCGCTCCCGTTCACACTGCCCCCCAGCCCCGCCCTTACTCCCACCGCCCCCTGCCCCGCCCGAAGCGGCAACTTCGGCAGCTGCTCCAGCGAACCCAGAAGGGCATGCGTGGGCTTGGCGTCGCACCCGCTGGGCGTGCCAGCGCTGTTTGCGCTTTGTCACGAGCGACCGTAAGCCAGGCGCCCAACGGGGAGGGCGGAATACCCCCCATGGGGCTGGTGTGAGAGCAGCATGCCCACACGCGTACATGCTACCAAACATCTCTGCGGGGACTTCGGTCGGCATGGGCCAACAGCCCCGCGGAGTGAATCGATCCGCAGATTGCGCAAACAGCCGCAGGATGGGACGAAACATGTTTTCTACAGACCGCAACGACCCAGTGAGCACTAAGGTGAAAAGAGGCAAGAGCGGGGAGACCCTCGTCAAGGCAAAAGGCCGGGCCAACTTTCGAATTGGGGTGTTGACCTCTGGCAAACCTGTCCCAAGAATGCTTTGCGCCATTGGACGGGAAACCGTGTCCTGGCGGGCATTCTTTACCCCAAAAAACGCACAGCGCCAGTTTCAGAGTAGGCGCCACACATGTCGCATATAAACAAAACGCCATGGGAATTGTTTGCTACTTGCAAAATGTTCCCCCTTGGGTTGGCGACCAGAGCAGAGAGAGCTGCGATGTACCCACAGCCTCCCAGCGACCGCGCTTTTTGTTTTTTTGTTTTTTGTTTTGCTCTCTCTCTCTCTCTGGAGGGATGAGAGGAAGGAGGAGGAAAGGGGCTCTGGACACCGTGCTCACAAATACATTTGAGGAACGCGTGCGGGCACGCAATTGTCCGCCGGACAATTCGGCGTGCTGACCACACCAGAGGGCTCATCAATCAGAGCGTGGAGCACGCACGTTCCGCATTGCGAGGGGCGCGTTCGCATACGACCCTGGCCTTTTCCCATGCGGGTACCTATCGCACCACACAAACTCAGGACTTTAAGGATGAGACTTCCAAGCGGTCGTGGATCACCGAACTCTGAGGGTCGCTTCATCCTTGAAGATGGGCTTAGGCGCCCTGAAGCCTATAGCGTACTTGGCAATCCTCCCTCCTCCCTCCTCTCTCCTTCCTCCTGGACTGGTGTTTAGAGGTTGCCATCCGGTTCAGTGTTGGTGTTCTTATTTACGTTACTGATAATCGTGCTGTTTATGACGGCCGGCTTTGCAAAGATCATCACGAACCCGTGCTCTTGGGCCTATCTGGAGGGAAACTGGTAAGCTCCTCGAGGCTCGGAACCCCACTTTCATTACAGTATGTTGGGCCCCATGTCATCTCAATGTGGATGAAGGACATAGGCTAGGCGTGCCGTTTCAAATTTTGCTGGGCAGTGCTGTTGCTGATGTCACTGCAGGTGAAACCGCGATGTCTTGGAGAGTCTCGGAGAGTCAGAGAGCGAGAGTGTGGGACACTGAAAGGAAGGCCGCCCTTGTGAGGAGATGAATAATGAGAGCGCAGTTGGAGGCAATGGTTGCCCAGTCCACGTCGCTTGATCATCCTGCCCCACAGACGCTCGAGGGAGATGTGCCCCCTCCCCCTCCTCCTCCTCCTTCTCCTCCTCCTCCTCCTCCTCCTCCTCCCCCTCTTCGGCCGCAGCAGTTGCGGTCTTCAGCAGCCTGGACGACACAGGCGCGCGGTGCACCCGTTGTTTCTCGCCCTCGTCCAAAGCCGGGAGATCAGATTGGCTTCGATCGAGTTGTGAGGCCCCCTTGTTATTAATGATGTGCTGTCACGTCCCTTCTCGGGGTGTCGGGTCCACGTCGCCGGGGATGAGTCCATGGGTTTCAACCGGTGATTTTTCCCAAACAGTGCGTGCTTGGCTCTGCAGGGACTGTGGAGCCAGTGGGAAGGACCAGCTCCGACCTCTTGCAGGCCAGTGCCGCCCCGATCAGATCACTCGCTCAGGTCGGGATTACATCGATCGTTTTTTCGAGGTCTCCCACAGAAGGCGCTTGAATTGAAGTGAGGTGTATCTCTGTGGTTGGGATGTTGCTTCGCAACTGTTCTGATTCCTGATTCCTGACTCCTCCGTCCTGGACTGGATGAGGTGTTTGAGCCAAATGTCTTTCTTGCCTCCCCTCCCCCTCCTTCCTCGCCGCGCCCCCCCGGGCCGCCTCCCCCCCTCACGGACGAGCAGCTGGCCAAGCACGCCGAGGACCGCCTGCGCCGCGAGGCCAAGAGTGCCGAAGCGCACAAGAGACGCGCCCGGTGGGCCGGCTCCCTCTCCTTGGCCGGCTTCTTCGAGGCTGGAGCCGCCCCTCTCTCTTTCACATTCAAGTAGGCCGAGGGGCCGCCTCACAGTTGGACCGCGGACGCAGGGCCCCCCTCCTCCCTCCTCCCTCCTCCCCCCTTTTCCCCCCTCCTCCTCCTGTCCCTCCTCCTGTCCCTCCTCGTCCCTCCTCCTCCGTCCCCCCCCTCCTCCTCCTCCTCCTCCTCCTCCTCCTCCTCCTCCTCCTCCTCCTCCTCTCTCCTCCTCCTCCCTCCTCCTCCCTCCTCCTCCTTCACCTCCTCCTCCTCCTCCTCCTCCTCCTCCTTCACCTCCTCCTCCTCCTCCTCCTCCTCCTCCTCCTCCTCTTCCTCCTCCTAGCCGTTCTGGCTCAGGCCGTTGGGGCTGAGCTTGCAAGCGCGCACTTCAGAGCGGCTCGCGCTTGCGGGCCAGTCTTTCCAACTTTCACGCGGCCCGTGTGGCCAGTCATCCGCGCGGGGGCTCCCGCCGTGGATGGCCCCCCTCGATGGTCAAGTTCTGCCAGGGTCGCGCACGCCTCACTGGGGCTGCTCGTGCGGCGTGGCCGACAACTGGGCGTCGAGGATCTCGTGCCGTCTGTGCGTTCGTCCTGCAGCGCAGAAGACCATCCAGGCTGCACGCCAGGCTGCTGTCAAAGCGCGTGTGCCTCAGCAGCCGCAGGGGCCCAAGCCTAAGCCGCTCGGCAAGTGGGCTCAGGGCCCCCCAGGGAATGCTAACGCGAAGATGCTCAGGCAGCTCCAGGACTTGCAGCAGCAGGTTGCCCAGCTCACTGGAGGAGGGACCCCGCCGCCGTCAGGAGGGGCGCCTCCATGGGCCACTGGAGGTGCAGGTGGAGGTTGAGGAGGCAGCAGCGGAGGTGGATCTGCGCAGCCATCCTC